TTTTTTGTGCCCAATAACACCAGGAACATTAAGTAAGAAAGTAAACGCGGTCAGTTTTGATTTCATGTAGACTTTAATGTATTTAGGCATTTTTATTGAGAACTGACAGAGTCAAAGCTTATGAATTGCATTTCTCTGTTCCAGATTTTTCCACACGATCTGTCGTGCATGACGACGATGATCACATTCGAATACCTCATCCAGCTGTGTCAGAATAAAGAGCAGGTGTGTCCTCTCAGCAGCGTCAGAGATGCTTCAGGTACAAACCTGCACCGTCAGCTGTCTCCTTACACACAGTCATATGAGATCTGAAGCTCAGTGTGGTGTGTTGCTCCTGTAGGAGAGATCCCCGCCGCTGCTGCTGATGACTGCATACACACTGTGCCTTTCCAGTTCGACCTGATGAAACTCTTGCCCAAGTGCCAGCAGATCGAGCTCTTCTTCTACACCTTCAGCCGAGGTACGAGTCCATTGTCCGTCCTCCCCTATCCTCCTCCTGTCCTTTCTTACATTCATATTCCTTACCATACATCAATGGAAATGATGTATATATCTCAATTGAAAAAAAATTGACACTTATGACTGGTTTTGTGGTCCAGGGTCACAAATTAGTGAACACTGGGGCTTATTTCACTGTTTTTCTGTTGACCTTTGACCTCTGTTACAGAGGGGAAGGAGGACGCCTCCCGTAGCGCCTCCTCTCTGCCCAACGACCTCCTCCTCAGCCTCTTCCACGGCTCGCTGCAGAACGAGCTCAGTGATCGAGAGATCCTGTTGACTGACGGCGATCATGTGGCGTTCATGCATCACATCCTAGAGCGGGAAAGAGATGGCCACGTGGCTCCATTCTCACTTCCTGTCATCAAAGGTGATTTGGCTGTATTAATGCTAAAATGTCTGCAACGCTCATGCAACCAAATGAAAACATACACTACTGTTCAAAAGATTTGAAAGAAATTAATACTTTTATTCAGCAAGGATGCATTAAATTGATGAAAAGTGACAGTAAAGACATTTATAATGTAACGAAAGATTTCTTTTTCAAATAAATGCTGTTCTTTCGAACTTTCTATTTTATCAAAGAATCCTAAAAAAATAAAATTTTTCGTAGTTTCCACAAAAATATTCGGCAGCACAACTGTTTTCAACATTGATAATAATCAGAAATATTTCTTGAGCTGCAAATCAGCATATTAGAATGATTTCTGAAGGATAATGTGACACTGAAGACTCGAGTAATGATGCTTTGATCACAGCAATAAATTACATTTGAAAATATATTTACATAGAAAACTGTTATTATATATTTAATTTTAGTTTCAATTATTTTATGATATAAATTGTAATAATATTTAACAATATTACTGTTTTCGCTGTATTTTTGATTACATAAATGCAGCCTTGGCGAGCAGAATAGACATCTATTAAAAACATTTGGTAGTGTGTGTGTATATATACAGTATATTATAATTCAGCTTTGCCTTCAGAGGAATAAATTACATTTTAACATATACAAATAGAAAACAGTTATTTTAAATAGTAATAATATTTCACAATATGACTGTTTTTACTGTATTTTTGATCAAATAAATGCAGCGTTGGTGGGCAGAAGAGACTTCTTTCAAAAACATTAAAAAAAATGAACGGTACGGTAGTGTGTACTTTATATAATAGTGGTTAACTTCCATGTTTTAGGAAGGATTGTGCTTTTAAACACAGGTTTTTCCCCATAGACTTCCATTGTAAATGCATTACTGTTAACTAGTTGTTCATTTGTTTGTGCTTATATTAAACCCTGAACTATATGTATATATATTATATATCATTAATCTGGAAGCACAGAGCAACCACCCTTGGTTTGTTTTCATTTACTCTTGCTAAAGTGTAAGTGTAAAGTGGCATTGTGCTCATTGAAGAAGAAACAAGATGTTTAAACTAAGTAGATGATTTAAAACACACTAATTGAAAGACTTCACGCTAATGGATGCCAGACATCCCAAATGACCTTTAATTGATTCATTAGCAATTACTAGTGACATAAGAAGAGACTGACCCCTGATCTTCCCTCATGAGGTTTATCTGTGTGTGTGTTTTCAGAGGAGAGCTTGAAGCCTCCGGAGAGGCAGGACACTGTTCTGTCTTTCCACACGATTGGAAGCAGTAAAGAGGTGACGGGCTCCTCCAGCACACTGCAGGTACATCAGCACATATTACAGCTCAGCTGAAAAAAGCCCAACCACACTCATAGTCAGTGTTGGGGAAAGTTACTTTTAAAAGTAATGCATTACAATATTGCATTACTCCATAAAAATGCTCATTATGGCTGCATTTATTTGATCAGAAATACAGAAAAAAAAAACAGTAACATTGTGAAATATTTTAGCAAATTAAAATGGTTTTCTATTTTAATATACTTCAAAATATAATTTATTTTTTATGCAAAGCTGATTTTTCAGCATCATTACTCAGTGTCACATGATCCTTCAGAAATCATTCTAATATGCTAATTATCAATATTGGAAATTTTCTTTAGAAGCCGTGATACTTTTTTAGGATTCTTTGATGAATAAAAATCTAAAAAGAACAGCATTTATTCAAAATAGAAATCTTTTGTAACAATATACACTATACTGTTCAAAAGTCTGGGCTCAGTGATTTTTTCTCTCTTCTTTTGAAAGAAATTAATGCTTTTATTCAGCAAGTACGTGTTAAATTGTTAAAAAGTGATCATAAAGAAAGACAATTAAATCAAAGAGCACAATCAGCTAATAAACATAATAATCTACTATCGTAACATGAGAGATGTGAACTCACCAGAAGAATGTATTGGTTCCATCATCGAACACTTCACACTCAGAGCGGCCGGTTAACGGGAGATCATCAGCGCCCGACCTCTTCCACTCGCCTTTAGCCATCACGGCAGAGCTTAAACTAAACCTGAACCACCTGTGATTTCACTGACAACTATCTAAACCCAACACACACGAACCAAACTCACCCTCACACAACACACATATGACTTCCAACCTAAATTTGAGCAAACACCTGTGATTTCAAACTGAACTAAACCTAGCTGACAGCTGAACTATTTGTAACTCAACACACCTGGCAAGTCAAACTGAACTAAGCCCAACAGACCTGTGCTGAACTGACTCAACCTGACCCCTAACCCAACATACCCATGCTGTGGTTTACAACCAAACTAATCCTGACCAACACACCCACTCACTAACCCGAGCCCAACTCACTTGCGCTGAGATTTAAACCTGAACTAACTAAACCAGAATAACTCACTAACCTAACCCAACAAAAACTCACCTGAACTGACTAAAACAGCGCATCAGTGCGGAGACTTAAACTGTAAATAAAACATAAAACTCAAATCACGGTGAGCCGCAGGAGCTCGTGCGCGTCTCGCCACTGGCCGGTAACGGAGCGCGAGCTCAATAACCGGGTCAGCAGTCGCTCATGGACGCGAGGTTTTGAAAACCGGCAGGAAAATGACCTCTTCGAGCTTCATGTATGAACGCAACGCGAACGCACCATCCTCCGAGGACCAATAAAACGATTTCACAGACTGCGGCGGACGCACGCGCACCTCTCTTGCACTTCAGAACAATATAACCATATTAAGGTCGCGCGTCATGACGTCATTTCCGCTTATCCCACAGGCGGCGTCACAAATTTGTGTTTTTGGTCATCAAACTGTGCACTGTATGCCTCTCTGTTCTGCATCCACAATCAGTTATGAACACATCATGTATTTATTATTTATTGTTTATTTATATGCATTTAATTATGTAACGTGATATGATATAGCTGTAGGCAGTGTTGGGGAAAGTTACTTTTAAAAGTAATGCATTACAATATTGCGTTACTCCATAAAAAAGTAACTAATTATGGTACTTAGTTACTTTTTATGGAAAGTAATGCGTTACGTTACTTTTGCGTTACTTTTTAAATCTGGACAGGGCTTGCTTGTTTGTTTTTAAAATAAAAAAGTTATATTTTTGGCAAATATAAAAGCCTTTTCGCACCAAAAGTGAAATGAATAAGCCTCAGGCTGAAGGAAATGTAAATTTATGTCCGTACAGTAGAATGCAGAAGAAGAAATTTCAACACACTTCAGCAATAAAAAAAGACACATAATGTTTGTCTAGAGTAATTTTTGCTTAATATTATGGTTGAACTGGATCATCGAAGGTCAGAAGCAAAGACATTGGTTAATAGAATGGGATTTAATACATAAAGGATATTTGTGTTGTTTAACATTTAATTATTTCAGGTTTGCATCGTATTCTGAGTTGCATTATTTTTATTCATTTTGAGGAATACTGAATCTGTGTTTTTTTTTTATGCATATTAATGCATATTCATATTTATTTTAGAACTACAGTAACATCTGATTTCTCTCAACATGGGGACAGGAGAGCTGTCAATCAATAAATTGGAAAAAAAAAGTAACTTGCGTTACTTATTTGAAAAAGTAACTCAGATATTCTCTTGTAAATTAAAAAAGCAGTGTGTTACTTTACTAGTTACTTGAAAACAAGTAATCTGATTACGTAACTTGCGTTACTTGTAATGCCTTACCCCCAACACTGCTGATAACCAGTCCACACATGTGTGTGAAACAGCCTTTGGCTAGTAAATCAAATGGAGTTAACTTTATCTGGAGCATAATACATATGACATAAATGACCCATAATTGATATCTGACCCTCACTGATGAAACTGAAGTGTACAACTCACACACCTTTTACCACAGTGGAAATCGGTTTATTGCTCTCTGGGAATATAACCTATGAGGCATCATGCCTTACTAGATACAGGTGCACATTAGTCCATCACTTATATGCAAGGGGAAAACACAAAACAATTGCATTATTTGTATATTTTCAATATAAATAAATTTAAATTAAATAAAAAAATCATGGCTGGCTAGAGATATTTATTAAAAAATACAAACAAACTAACTAAATAATAAAATGATAAAAAATAAAATAAAATACATTTATATTATATTTTTCTCAGATTGTTTTCCAGATTGTTTGCTGCTTCTGTGATACATTTTTTTTTCAAGATTCTTTGATGAATAGAAAGTTCAAAAGAGCAGCATTTATTTGAAATGGAAAACTTTTGTAAGATTATAAATGTCTTTACTGTCACTTTTGATCAATTTAATGTGTCCTTGCTGGATAAAAGTGAGTAAAAAATCTTACTGACCCCAAACTTTCAAACGGCAGTGTACTTATCCTTCTGTTGTTGGCGGAGTTGTTACAGTGTGTGTGTTTGTTCTTGGCAGAGCTTCAGTAATGCAGATCTTGTGGATGACGAGCCAGCTGGCGCGGAGCAGGACTGCTTATCTCCTCACTGGAAATGTTACGCCAAATACATCAGTCATCAGCAGATCCTGCTCACTTTCCTGCCAGCTACATTCACAGGTGCATCGTCTGTCAATGCCAATAGTCCTCTATGTTTACACACATCATGAGATTGAAGTTATTTGAATGCTTTTTATTTAGCCACTTACATTTTTGGCTGCAAACATGAAACATGCCCACAGTTTAACCCAGCAGTTGACCAAACTAATATTGCAATCTGGAGAATGTTACTACCAACTACCAGTTGGTGGGTCTTTAATACTTATAAATGCCAATGTTACAGAAAATGCAAGAAAAAAGTTTATTATTATTATTATTATTATTATTAAAATAATAATTTGTTGCTTAATATATAATATATAATAATTATGAATAAAACATTCATAATGAATATTACATTTTTATTGCTGTAGTCTAATGATTATTCAGTTAATATTGCATCAAAATGCAGAAATAATTATAGTAATAAAAAAAAAACTAACAATGTGGTTGTCACTCCCTTAACTTATGACATGGATTTTGTGTAACTTAATACCTTGTAATACTGTTGTTATGTGCTTATTTTTTAATAATTTTCTATTTAAGCTTTATTTTGACTGTGCAGATGTGCAGATTTTGATGTCGTCTGGGCTGGAAACTGAACCTCCAATCAACAGCAGTCTCCTGGAAGAGGAGGAGACCTGTAGTCACGGCAACGGCCAATCACAGGCAGACTCCTTCGGCAGCTCTGCCAATGGTCCACAGGTTGGAACAGGTCAACATGGAGAAGACAGGAAGGGGTCCACAGTGGAAGCAGAAGCAGCGCTGGAGACGTCTGCAGGACAGAGCAACATGAACACAAGTGATACTGGTATGGGACTTAAATTCTGCTGCATGTTTCCAGACTGGATTTGACACAATGAAGTGACAAATATGACAGAAACCGAAACCAAACAAGGGAGTTTAGTTGTGTTTCACATCAGGGTTATTGTACTTAACTAAAAAAAAAAAAACATAAAAAAAAATGTTTTTGTTAGTTGAAATAAAATCCAAAAAATAAATGGTGCCTTGCACACCTGACCCAATTATGTGTAAGATGAAATTACAGTACAAACTAGAAAAATATCAATCTTTCACACTACGCAAATTTGCATCATCAAACTGTAAAACTGAAAAAACTTACATTTATTTACATCTAGTTGCCAAGACAAAATCTCTATTTTCATTTAGTTTAAATTTAGTCTATTTAGGTAATTTAGTTTAAATTAATTTAAATGTAGTTACTTTAGTTTAAACAGTGTAGATATATATAAAAAAAAAAGTAATAAAAATGGCAAGAACTCAAACAAAATTACTAAACTCACTAAAATGAAAACAGAAAATATAAAAATAAAAAATATTAATAATATATCAAAGATACAAAACATAGCTGCTTCACATGTTCCAGCTGGTTAGGGCAAAAAAATGAATGAGATGGGAGAGATTTTTATATTCATACCTCTTGTCTCATAACTTTCCGCTTCAGAGGAGAAGGACGGCGTTCAGTTTGTGGAGCCTCAGAAGCGAGACTGTCACATCACGTTCAGCAGACAGGTGTCTCAGCAGAGCGGCGCCGACGCAGCACGACCCCGCTGCCCCATCTACATCTACAACTGCTCCCTGGAGTCCCTCAAAGAGCAGCTGGTCCACCCGCGCTCAGGACGCCAGCCCAGAGACGTCTTCTTCAGGTACTGAGACACACTGCCTCATGCAGAGGAAAGCTACTGTGTGTAGCTTGAAGGTCTCAGGACATCAGCTCTGTTCCAAACCATAGAGAGCAGCCTACTGCATACCTAGACTGCGAAACTAACTGTCTAACTGAAGTAGGACCTTATAAGTGACACTGCTATTTTAGTATCGTTGATATACTATTATACTTTATATTTAGAATTTTATTTATTTATTTATTTTTCTATTTTTAATTTATATATTTTTTCCACTTTAATTTTAGTTAAAGTTTTAGTAATTTTGTGTTTTTACAAAAGTGTTCTTTCTTTTCTTTCTATTTTTTTTTAAATATATATCTATATAGATTTTTTCGATATAGTTTTTTTATTAGACTTATTTAGTTGAGTTTTTCTTTTCTTTTAATGTGTCTATATAGTTTTTATTAAATGTTTTTTTCTTAGTTTTACTTTATTTAGTAATGAGAACTGAAAATTATTATTTTTAATTCTATTTTTATATTATATTGAATTTTATATTTTATATTTTTGATATAATTTATATTTTTGTTTCCACTTTAATTTATTTTTATATTCTTTTTTTTTTAATTTTTCTATTTTATAATTTTTATATTATTTATATTGCTGTTTCCACTTGAATTTTAGATAAAGTTTTTGTAATTTTGTGTTTTTGTCATTTTTATTTAAAAATGCCTATAGAGTTTTTATTAATTAGTTAGTTTTACTTTAGTTTAGTTGTTTTGGTACTTCAAGTTGAATTAAATGAAAATGAGAAATGTTGATATATAATAACTAGAATAAAATAAATGTACTTTTTAATATTTTATTTTATTTCAGTTAAAGTTTAATTGCAAGTAACGAAAATGTTATTTTTTAATGGTTTTAGTTTTAACTTGAACTCTCTAACTTTAATTCTAACTCTAACTCTAACTTTAACTCCATTAACCCTGTTAAGTGACTGAATTGAAAAGCTCTTCATTACCAGTAAACGGTCTGAATAAAAGCATCGGTAACATACTTAGTTATGATGTCTAATAAAGTTGCCTCGGTAGGCGGTTCGCTGTATTTTGGAGCAGAGCTGTTGTGTTTGATCATTCCTGAGGGCATCATGTGGTCATCCTAATGTTGTACTGTCTGGTTTCTCTTTGGATGAGAATAGAGCTCAAGAGACAGACTCCTGGGAGTTCAGTCAGCAGCCCAAATACAGGTAGCCCTGCTTACTGCTTCCTGCTGCCGCCCTACAGCGGGACGGGGCGGGAGGGAAGGGGTGTGAGGGGCCGCTTTGGCCCCGTTACTCTAAGGATGGCCCTTCTTTCTTTCTCTTTCTCTGGAGGGTTTTGCTGTTCTACGAAGGTGACCGTAATGAGGGGATATTAGGCTACTGAAGACTTAAAAGGGTCTGAGGTCTTAAAATAACAGATTTAAAGCAAACGTTTATCTCTGTATATGCCGTTCAAAGTTTGGGTGTCAGTAATTTTTTTTTTCTAAGGATGGCCCTTCTTTCTTTCTCTTTCTCTGGAGGGTTTTGCTGTTCTACGAAGGTGACCGTAATGAGGGGATATTAGGCTACTGAAGACTTAAAAGGGTCTGAGGTCTTAAAATAACAGATTTAAAGCAAACGTTTATCTCTGTATATGCCGTTCAAAGTTTGGGTGTCAGTAATTTTTTTTTTTTTTTTGAAAGAAATGCATACTTATATTCAGCAAGGAAGCATTAAATTGATCAAAAGTGACAGTAAATGCACTTATAATGTTACAAAAGATTTTTTATTTCAAATAAATGCTGTTCTTTTTACTTTCTATTCATCCAAGAATCCTGAAAAAATCAAGCAGCTCAACTGTTTTCAACACTGAACATTGAGCAGCAAATCAGCATATTAGAATGATTTCTGAAAGATCATGTGACACTGAAGACTGGAGTAATGATGCTGAAAACTCAGATTTGATCACAGGAATAAATTACATTTGAACAGATATTCACATAGAAAACAGTTATTTTCATAGAAAACAGTTATTTTAAATTGTAATAATATTTCACAGTATTGCTGCCTTTACTGTAATTTTGATCAAATAAATACAGCCTTGGGGAGCAGAAGAGACTTCTTTCAAAAACAATAAAATATCTTACCAGCCCCAAAGGTTTGAGCTGTAGTTTATATTGTTGTTGATTGGGGTGCACAGTGATTTGGATTGTTCTATATTATCTAATGTGTTTTAAGACCTCATATGCTGCTGAGGGTTGTTTCCTCTGCCTTCTGATGTTCAGTACCAGTCAAAAGTTTGGACGTACTTAACTGAAGGCCTTCTGATTACGCTGGGAAATGGAAAAGCAATGCGGCAAAACAAATCCCTCATACATGTTCCACATTTTCTTCATGCCTTTTCAATACAGTTTCAAAAGCATCCCAGGATGCACCTCATGTTTTTATGATGAATGTCTGCAGAGCTTGAACAAAGAAGAAGGGCAAATATAAAGGAGGTTTTGTTTGTGTCACAATTTGTGCATTTCAAAATGAGTTGAGAAAAGTCATAGTAAAGCATGAGTAGATGTATCCAAACTTTTGACTGGTAGTGTACATACTTAAATTAGGAGGTAGTTCCCTGCGTGCAGACATTTAGGAGATTGCTAGACATTCGAAACGAGGCTAAATGACTGGAATATAACTTATGTCCTCTTTATTCTTGATTTATTTGTGGGATTAGTATTTGTTATCAGTCTTTGTTGATCCGGTATATTCTTCTGCATGATAAACATCTGTCTCGGTGGTAATGTCTGCTCATCTGAGCATCCCAATTTTAGGCTACATATTGGTGTCCTCAACATCTTGATTTTTTTCCACTAAGCTTTTCCCGCTTTGTTGACCACAAAAATGGTAAACCTCTGGCGTATAAACCTCAGGTGTTGTTGCGGCTATAAACCTCGGCTGTAAATCTGTTTTGCATGCTTTTAAAGCTGGTTTGAAACTGTTGCAGTATGACTGGTTTGATATTTTCCCGTCCTCTTCAGCTGTATTTACATTTGATGATCCACTGGACTGTAGATAAATGTAATCCTATTGCACTGTGCTGCTTATTATATCGTATTACACTCAGGAATACTGAGGTATCATCGGCCACCGATATTTAAAATCAACACCGTCAGCAATCAGCTATTAAGGAATGGTATTTTAATAATTAATTAAACATGTTTATTGCACTCTATAGGGTCTGTAATCACCTTTTGTTCTTGCACGTAATATAGTCAATAAATACAAACCAGAATTAATAAAATCTGAAAAATAGAAAGCATGCATTTGGTTTTTGTACACGTCAGACAGATATGGTTGTTGCATGTTATCTGCATTTTCATAATGGTATCTTTTTTCAGAAATTGCAAATAAATTGCCTTATTTATTTGTTATAAATATTTATTTATTTAACATCATGCCTGAGGTCTGACTCAATGTTACTACGATAATAAACAGCTCTTGTATCTCTTTGTTGGGCTGTAATTGAACTCTGTTTGAATTTAAATGCATTAGCTAAAAGCAAAATGCTGATCTGAAGACAAAAGTTAAAAGAAGTGTCTGAAAGAGCCAGTTTTTCTCTGTAATAGACGTATGGATGAATATTTGACTTGGCTATTGCTTTTCCTGCTGCTTGTCTCTGCTATTTTAGGCTGGTGTCTGGTGTAGTGTTGTAGGAAATGTCTGGCAGATTGTGGCCTGCTGTTATCTGATGTGTGTGTGTGTGTGTGTGTGTGTGTGTGTGTGTGTCTGGGCAGGTCAATCTCTCAGGAGCGCAGCAGCGCCGCCTCCTGGACGGAGCTCATGACACACCCTCACAAACACAAAGAACTGGCCAACTACTGCAGCCTGCTACAGGAGCACTACTACCAGAGCTATGTCAAAGGTCACACTCTAACATATGCATAGAGCTTAAATAAATACAAATATAAATAAATAAGCAAAAATAAATAAAGAACTAATTTTAAGCATTTAAGCACATTCATCTACGGCATTCTCATTACTATAATGCAATAAATAAGTAAGTAAATAAGTAAATAAATAAGGAAATAAAAATAATTCTCATTACAGTATTGAGTCCAGACATTTTTTCCATTACATTTATGGTAACACTTTACAATAAGGTTCCATTTGTTAACTATATTTAATGCATTTACTAACAATGAGCAATACATTTGTTACAGTACTTATTAATCTTTGTTAATGTTAGTTAATAAAAAATACAGCAGTTCATTGTTAGTCCATGTTAGCTCAGGTCTATTAAATAACATTAATAGATACAACTTTTGATTTTAATAGTGTATTAGTAAATGTTGGAATCAACATTAACTAAGATTAATAAATACTTTTAAGTATTAAAAGTATACTTTTAAGTAAAGTATTTATCATTGTTAGTTTAACTAATGTAGTTAGTTAACTAATGTTTACAAATGGAAACTTATTGTAAAGTGTTACCGCATTTATTTTAAAATAAAACTATAAATAAATAAACAAAAAATAAGAAATCATTTTTAAACATTTAAGCACATTTATCTAATTCTCATTAGTGTAATGCAAAATAAATAAATAAATAAGTAAAGTAAAATTCTCATTACTTCATTGAGTCCAGACATTTTTAATTACATTTATTTTATTATTATTTTAAAATAAAATATATAAACTAGTAAGCAAAAAAATAAGAAATAATTTATAAGCATTTAAGCACATTTATGTCACAAATTATTATTAGTGTAATGCAAAAAAAAATATTACAAACTCAAATTACTGTTGAGTCCAGTGTCCAGACATTTTTCAATTGCGTTTATTTTATTATTATTTTAAAATAAAATGTTTTTTTAAATTTTTTATTATATCATTCGTTTGTATGTAATCCACATTGTTCTCAATGGTGATTCATTAGCATCTCATTACTGAGATTATTAATGAGAATCATCACCCTGTCCAGATTCATGATTTTTTATATTTGTCTAAATAAAAGGTATTTAATTAATTATTTTTGTCTTTAAATATTTAATATTAGTCTAAAATAAATTGTGTCTGCAGATCTACAGTAAAAAACATTAGTTTGATATATATATATAAAATTCTTACGCATATATATAATGCATTTCATTAATGTGAATTGGGGCACAAAATGTGTTCATAAAAATAATATCACAATACAAAAATACATACAATGTTATTAATGTAATTTTCACGGCAAATGATTTCATTGTCGATTGACAGGTGTTTATCGCAGTCTGCAGCAGTCGCACAACGTGAGCTCGCAGGACTTACTGACGGCTATGGACTACTGCGAGGAGTCGCTGCAGGAGATCGACATCACTTCCTTCCTGCAGACGCTCTGCGGACACGTGCGTGTGTTTCGTGAGCGTCACGAGCTGCATGGCTCTGTCAACGTAAGCAAGTCCAGTGACGCTTCCACCACCTTCATCATCGGAGAGGGAGAGGATGATGGAGCTGACAGAGCCACGCTGGTGTCTTCATCCAGGTACTGACCATAGAGCAATGCATTGTGGGATTAATGCTTTGTTTTCGTTGTTTTTATATATTTTATATTATTTTTTTTTTCTCAAAGTATTGAGCTGGAGGATGTGAGTGAAGCGGATTCCAGTGGGAAAGTCTCTGCTCCCACATCCCCACTGGACCTGGACGAACCGAAGTCTCCAAAAATCCCAGAATTCCCTCTGTCGCTCCTCCAGTCCCAGCAGAAATGTGACGTGTATCCTGATTTGCACAAAATCATACAGGTACGGCTGACAGCAAATGTTGTCAGGGGCGTAGAAACAACATTTTTACAACACAGCTGTCATACAAACAATATCTCATATTCTTTTTGCTTTACAGGATAAGTTCATGGAAATCGGTGCTCAGTATTTCAAGACTGTACCGTCCAATCCACATTATTTCTTTTACTGCCTTCCATCTTCCAAAAAAGAGGTGCGTACACACATTAAAAACATACACACATTACATAAAATACAAAAACAGAACTGTATTGGAAACACTGGGAATAGTCTTATATAGACAAATGTTTGACTGTCAGATTGGCGCTCATCTTTATAACATGAATGGTTTATGGGAGCGTTTTCCTTTCCTCTCGTCCACCGTCTGCAGGAGGATTTGGACCGAGAGGGAGAGCGGAGAGCCAGTGAGGACTGTGAGGTGTCTGAAGCTGAACTCGCCACAGAAGACGGTTAGACATCCTTCATGACACACTGAATGTTCAATTTAATACCCGAGTGCTACATTTTTAATATCACCTATATCTAAGTAATTGGTTTTGAAGAAATGTAATGCCATTTGCAACATATTTAAAGCGATTAACTGTAATATTTCCCTCACTAAATGTGTTATGCATAAAGAAAATAATAGTGTTTTAAACATCTGTTTATCAATCCAGTGATGCTTCAGTTGGATTGTGAAAAGTTTTCTATTATATTATTGGTCAGGGATGTAACGATGCACCTTTAGCCGGTTAAAAATCGATAAAAATATGTGACGATTCAAGTCGGTGGGCATTTATAATAATGTATCTCTGAGGGGAGCTGACTGACTTCAGAAAATTTTAGATGGTATTTTTTTTTTCATCTTGCGTCCGTAAAATGCATATTAAAGTACTGTTTATAAGCGCTGCGCTGCTTTGTTTACAGCGGGAACCCAGAAAACGCTGTATCGCTGCTGTTCCATGAGCGCCTCCTGCTGTCAGAGAGTGAATCTGCGTCTCTTTCAGTTTCCTGCAGATGTTTTATGTAGTATAGTTTCACAAAGCTAAAGTCAGACCCTTCTGTTTTTGCTTCAAATTTCGAAATGATACAATCTAATTTAAATCAAAAACTGCTCATGCTGCATGTATGCATCATCTTTGATTAGATCGTGATTAAAATGCCGTGGTTGCCTCTAATTTTAAATGGGAAAAGCACAAGCAAAGCCTTAGTTTGTTTATATGAAGACATGTCTTGTATTTGTATTATTCATTCATGTGATTTGGGAATTTAGTTTTGCGATTCAACATAATTCAATTTCACAAAGAAATGTGCAACATTTTGTCTAATAATAATAGGACACTTTTTCATTTATAATTTGTCATTTTGTTAAAAAATCATGGGAAAATTGTATCGTGAAATCAGTATTGTGAATCATATCGCATGAATCGTCACATCCCTATTATTAGGTAATAATATTGCATGCACAGCCACGGTGCCATAGCACTGGTGAATGAACATTTAACAGGGACTTTAGTAGGGTCCGTTGATTTCATGTTATTTGGAAAGTTTATGTGTGCATTTAATAGTGTTTTGCACCCGTTAGTAAACTTGAAGTATATTAAAACATGGTTATCCATATTTATGTTTTGCATATGCGCAGAGAACGTGTCGGGCTGCTGCATCGTGACGGAGAGTGACACGGATCTGGAGGTGGAGTATCAGGATTGTGGGAATGGCAGAGCGGAGGCTGGAGGACAGGGAGCCGGTGAAGGCGAGTCTCCGTCGGACTCCAACACAGTGAACCAGGACGAGGACTCCTTCAGTATTCTGGACGGAGACTCTCTGCTGGAGGTGGAGGGTCCGCAGCCGGAGATGCCGCCTCTGTTTGTGCACCTCACCTGCTCCGTCAACATGAAGAGCTGCCATGGCTCCATGCCCACACAAACACTGCCAACCTGTCTGGGTGAGACACTGAACACACCGCTGAGGGTTCTGCCACTGACTTCAGACTCTGTGCTTACAGTCATTTAACAGGGTCTTTTTCCCGTTTTTTCCCTAAAGTCAATGTCAGTCAAGATTTGTTGACCAAAAAATTAATCATTTTGTTTCTCATGGTCATTTTTTTTTTAATTCAAGGTTGTTTTTAACTGTACTGTATATTTGCATACAGTATTTTGACACTTTTATCCAAATCAAGTTACAATTGAATAACGTTACAAAAGATTTCTATATGCTAATAAAAGTTATTAAAATTGTAAATGAGCTTTATGACTGGCTCACTTCTTCGCATTAAAAATCATAATAATAGTGCTAAATAATAATTTGCTAAATACCAAATAAGTATTTATATGATATGTAAATGTAGGTGGACTTATGTTAATTAGCTTATGGTTGTGACCTGGAAATGTCATGAAAATGTTGGTTGTGAATATAACAGTCATTTAAAATAAGACATTCAACCATTTAATTGTATTAATTTCAAGGATTGGCTAAATATATATGAAAATATGCCACATCAAAATCCTGATCAACAGTGTTGTTAACATAACAAAAAATAAAACAAATGATTTTCTAAAAATAAATCTAAAACTAACAAAAATATTTAATTAATTGAAATTAAGCTGAAATAAATATTAGATGAAAATGCTGAACTTAAAAAAAAAAAAAAGAGAGAGAAAAATGTTACATTGGCAACTAACTGAAATAAAATAAGTTGAAGTTGAAGTACTAAAAAATACCAAAACCTGAACTGAAATAAAATAAAGCTAAACAGAAAAATTATTTAACAAAATGACATAAGCACTAATTGCTTAATAACAAAATTACTAAAATGTAAACTAAAATAAAAACTGCAAATAAATAAATGTAACTTTAAAATGTTAATAAATTCTATAATAATATTTACATAATATAAATATTATAATATAATATAAATAAAGAACAACTCATGAAAAATCATTATTATAAAACGGATAGTTCCGGTCCTTGATTCTGATTGGCTGAGCCGAGTTCTAAGCTGTTGTAAATTACTCTACAAACATACACCTTTGTTTACGTTTGTGTGTTGCTCGACAGCCACTTTATTGGAACCACAACAATAAAGATAAATACATTGTTTTGTGGAAGAATACTGTTTTTATTAATATCATTACACTTTATTTGCTCTGTTTTATTTTGTGAAACCGTACTACATATATGGAATAACCGTTTTATAAAAGCAATAA